TTTTTTTTTTTTTTTTAAAGAAGGGTTTTCAATGAAGCTTGTCAATTTTACGCTCACCTCGCCATATAGTGCGATTAAGCACATTCAGACAAAGTGCAGCGAATTTGCACGTGGTACATAAGGCACAACAAAATGAAGTTTACTGCATTTCCGTCGCTATTATTTTTGGCCTATTCATCAGAAGAAACTTGGAATGTGGTGTTTCACTCTGTGACTGTCATGATTTGATTTGAAGTTGTGAGATCAAATTATTAATAATCCCTGAGCCATGACTAGAACAAGCGGAACAAAAAAACAACTGACTCTACGCTTCTGGAACTGCGTATCAAAACTCTAGGTCTCTAGCTTTTGCTGTACTGGATGCTGTAGCATAGATGCAAACCGCCACAATGCGTTTTTGTTGCATCGGTTTGCAATAAATGTTAAAGAACCTTCAGGGTTAAAAGCATAGAAGTCGTGGTCAAGGCCCTTGTGTGATATGTAGTAAGTGAAAAACATGCCTCTGAAAAAATCTATTAAAAGAGTAGGCTGCTGCTCTCCCACCTTTCTTCTGATTAGGGTCAGTAAAGTGGAAGCTGCTCACCTGACATCATCACCATGTCGTGGCACAGTCAAAGTTCGTATAATTGAATTGCCTCTGGTGAGGATATTCAAAGCACCAGCGGCTTCCGAGTCGCCAGCACCGGCACGATCAAGCAAACCCTCAGAATGGCTTGTGAAATTGGATCCTTTGCGTCGTTTTGTACCTTGTCGTATGCGACTGATAAAGCCTTGCTGTGATGCATTACCACCACGACCGCTGTAATCCATCAACGCATTTACTGCTTTTATATGCGAGGACAGGAATATATCAACTGAATGGTAAATATTTTTCGGAAACAGAGCCGCCAAATTTTCCTGGAGCCGTAGTTTTTATCGTGATCATCAGAATAATCGATGAGGGGATCGAACATCAGCAAATAGCCCTAGCCTTTCTTTATGTATCAGACGTTTTAGCCTGGATTGTTGAGTGTATTATTTACTCGTTTGTTTGCAGTGCAATCAGATATGCAGGTGTAGTCATGTATACTCTCATCGGGTGTAATCTCTGAGCAGAGGGCTGAAACTTTCTGAGCATGGCTAACGGCCATATTTGGACAGGTAGAAGTGAAAGAGGCTTTCAGGTTTCTTCCAAATTTCACGTATTTCTTACGTGCAAGCACACGAAATTTGATGTAACTCCACAACCAAGGCAGTGTAGTGCTGAAATTTTCTGGGCGTAGTCCAAAATGGTGCTTAAGCAAGCGCACGTGAAAATACACTCATGCTTCCCTCACACACGAATATGTGAAGTTTGGTACTACTTGGCAATCAAAACAGCTGGAGTACTGAAATTTCCTTATCATATCTCATGACCATCTTTGGGCAGATGAAAACAAAATTCGCTTCCCTTCAACGTACGAACAAGTGGAATTTGATATAACTCCGTAACCGAAGCATCTACAGTGTTGGACTTTTTCCGGGCATAGTGACAGTGTTTATTGGGAATCGGTGTAATAATATGTGACAGTCACAAAAGCGAATCTCAGTTCGTTTAGTTAGAAGGATCTGCCGGAAAAAAACAGTGCTACTAGAGAAAAACATCTACGGGGAAAACTGTGCAAAAATGCATTATCGCATGGATAGTCGATGCAGTTAGGTTTAGAATGTTGTCTGCCGTTTCAATCGCAATCTTCTACAGGATGGCGTTACAGTTAACCTACAGCAGTATGTGGCGAAACAAACATTTGATAAAGAGTATGCTATACGGGTACCAAAAAATGAAGGCCTAGCAAATAATGCGAAATCATCACAATTTTTGGCCCTACTTGTGTGATAGATATTGAATAATGTAACAATCGTACCATATTTTCCTTCACTGTGGCTCATAACGAAATTAATAATCCAGTGGTGTTTATATGCAGATTTTCAGCAGTCTTATTGAAGTGGCAA